TAACGCTGTATGGAATACTCAATTTTAGAACTTCTAGGAAAATGCTTGTAACTTTTTGATGCAAGGTCATACAGAGTTGTGCGAGGTCTTATTTTGATCAGAAACGTTTGCTCTACAAGTCTCTGTGTTCAGAAAAAATTTAATTGCATAAGCATCCAGGAAAAAGCGATTATTTGAAGACCCGGTTTTTCGAGGCCCCTAGAAACTTGCTAAAAATCCGCGAAAAACCACTTTTGTAACCAAAAGCGATACAGATTCTGAAAGTAGACACTGCAGGCTATCTTCCTATATGCTTATCTCAAAACCGATGTCTTGACCGAAAATCACCATTTCCGAGGGAGGCCCCTTAAGTAGTTTTACATTTCCAAATGATACAAAACATTATGAGAAAAAACTTACAGGAAATTCGCATACTTTAGCTGGTGAAGGAGAAATGAAAGGTTTTTCTGGCACTGATGATCGTAATGATACAATGCCCGAATCGATTATTCCAAAAAGATTATCTTCTCAAGAAGGAACAAATGGGATGCTGTTAAGGCGCTCCAAATTCGAAGTTACAGTGAAATTCGCAGTCCACTCTTGTTGCATATTTCTAGACGCAGAATTTTACGCTGATTCAGAATATCACCTTTAAAATGCAATTAACTTGCGTCTTCGTTGAGAAAAGCGGAAAAAACGAAAAAACGTGTTCTTTTGCCAAAAACGGCTAAATTTTGTAAAAATCACTTTATATTTTGTTATAACAACTATTTGGAACCTTCAGAGTTAGTTATTTTGACTCATCGTGAAAAACTGCATCGATCAACGTAAGTTTTAAAATTTTCCAATGAATAAAAGTGCTCTACAAATCCACACGGATATAATAATGCGTTTTACGTCGACCCAGGAAAAATGCCATCAGATATTTTTCGTAATAGATACAAACCTAATTCTTTCGCCATTCGATTCCCCATGAAATTTGTTACAAACGCACGGATTTTTTTTTCGAGTTTTTTTCCCTTGCTGCTATAATGAAAAATTATGTATTGTGCGAAAACATACCATTGGATAGCCCTTGAAATTCTCTTTAAAGTGAGCTGGTCACAATGTCCAGACAGATGTGGCCAGTCATTAAAGATACGGAAAAGAAGCTTTTAGGTGTTATCTAAGCAGTACCGTGTGTCATAAGCACAAGAACTCCCTTATTTTTGACTTTTTAGTAAAAGCTGGAACCAATCTGAATAATGTTTTGAATAGCCCGAAGATTTTTCTATCCGATGAGGTGCATATCGCCCTTTCATGAGAAAAGTTGATAATAGAGCTTCTGAAAACCTGACCGCTGGAAAACCAAGTTCTTAGTATTTGGTCAGAAAATTTTGCAAACCATATAGTCTGATAGAGCGAAGAAATCTGAGCAAAATAAGATGTCTCCTGGCATTCTCCAGTGCTTTTTCGCCGCAATAGTTTGGTAACTTTCACGCCCTTTGTAGCTAGTGGTAAATCGACTGCAGCTACGTGAAAAAGCAGTTACAAAAAACAAATGGTATTAATGATCTGAACGTTTTTATAACAACCCTTCACATAGTCTCGCTTGTTCCTAATGAGTTTCAACATTTGCCATCATTTTTGTTAACACAAGATAACGAAATAGACTTAAAACAAACCTTTAAATTTGATCAAAACTCAATGAAATTTCTTGAAAGTGATATTCCAGATATTAAAAATATTCACTGTGATATTAATAAGGAAATTAAGAAATTAACTTGGTCAGTTCTAAAAAGTGATTATCTTGATGAATAAGATTCATCGAAGGTTAGCGCAGATAATTTAATAATTCAAAAATTCGAGATAGAATTTAAAAATAATTTTATAAAATATTTAAAAGAAAATAATGTTTTAGTCATTCTGTTGATTTACCTGAACAATTGTATACAATTTTCGTTTTTAAAAGTCGAAATAAAGAATTTTATGAATTTTTAATTAAAGTTTCAGAATAATGTGACAAAATTGTTCAATAAAATGAAATAGGAAAACTAATTGTTGAAACAAAGGGTTTATCTACTCTTCAAATAAATTTATCCATTAAAGATATTGAACATCAGATTAAGAAAACTTCTGTTTATTCAGAAACTAAATTCTTCATTAGACTCGTTTATTAATGAAATTCTTAAAAATAGGAAAGATGTTGATAGATCAACAGTGGAACGGATGCTAGGAAAGATGGAGAACAAACTCCGATGTATAGTCGATTAAGAGTGGAATTTAGACTGAAAAGTGGAAAATATTGATATAAAAAAGCATTTAGAAAATACGAAAGAATATTTTGATACTAAAACGTTTTATGCAGAAAAAATATCTTTTTCTTTGGATTCCAATACGTTGCCAGATCATTGTTCTGTAAAAACAATATTTTCAATTGGTTATGGAAAATCTTTTATTGCTGATTTAAAACAAAGTTATGGACAACAATCGGCAACACTAGAAATAGTAAAAATTAAGGATCAATATTTTTTCATTTGTCTAGGAGCTATTGCACGAGAAAAACGACAGATTACCATAAGACCATACTCAATCGATGCCTCAGATTTACTTCTAACTAGTCCTGTCTTGTTTAGCATGTGTGAAAACCTATTAATCCAAATTTTGAGCTTTCTAGGACTTTTACTTTCTGAGTTCTGGACAGTTTTCTAGAGTCCGCTCGATGGAAAATTCAGCGTCTAAAAAATGGAGAGCAAAAATAACGATTCTGTTTCTCCGCGAAGACATGTGATGGAACAGGGATTTTTTCATCCTATATGGCCATTGCATGGTCTATCCAACATTGAAATTTAAGGAGCTTTTTTTGTTCTGCTCAAATAATAATAACAATATCCTTTTAAAAGAAAGAATTCTTAAATAATGAGTCTTTAACACTTGTATGTACATTTTAAATGATTAAACATTTGACTAACGTACTGATTTATCTTACGATCGATCATAGATCGCTTTTTATAAGTATTATCTGTTCGAATGAAAACCATTGCATTGAAACTATTAGAAAAAGATGATGTTCATCATTTCAACCACTTTCACATTCATTCGAATAATACTATTCATATGAAAATACGATGAAACAAATCGAATATTTAATCAGAATTTTAATATGAAAAAAGGTTTTGGATTAATATTGACAAAAATTACTCTTATGTCAGGTTCTCTGGGATTCTCATGCATCGGTCAAGAGATGCATTAAATGGCCAATACTGACTCCTACTTTTTACCACATATTCTGAATGTATGAGTGAAAATGGGCTGACGAGGAAACCTTCCCAAGTGATACCCCCTGTTTTTGTTCAAACCTGGCTATTTATATGTAATCCAGGACGCTGATTACGAATATGATAGCCGTTTGTGTGGATAGACCTTTCCTAGCGTACCTCTGGAGAACCGGTTTTCTAGAAACCTCCTAAAACCATAACAATGTTTTTTCCACATGCTGAGATTGTAGCGCGTAAATTTTGCATCAAAATGAGATGTCTCCTAGCTCTCCATGTCCTTTCTTTGCAAAGTGAGAGAATTTAAAAGGAAAGCCCAAAATTAATTTTTCTGTTTCTTTCTGTAGCTTTAAGCTGACAATGAACATTTAGGGCTTTTCTTGTAAATTCTGTCATTTTGCAAAAAAAAGGACATGGAGAGCTGGGAGGCATCTCATTTTGATGCAAAATTTACGCGCTACAATCTCAGCATGTGGAAAAAACATTGTTATGGTTTTAGGAGATTTCTAGAAAACCGGTTCTCCAGAGGTACGCTAGGAAAGGTCTATCCGCACAAACGGCTATCATATTCGTAATCAGCGTCCTGGATTACATATAAATAGCCAGGTTTGAACAAAAACAGGGGGTATCACTTGGGAAGGTTCCCTCATGAGAAAATTCTTTTTTTCGAGTTTTGACGAAAATGAAGGTGCCAGTCGTATTTCAACCTAAACACGTCCAAAAACTTGGAAAAAAATGGTCTCTCTGATTGTTTTGGTAATTTGTCTTAAAAAGTGCGAGTAAAAAATGTCTAAAATCTTATCGAAAGTTATTGTATCTTAAACTCTCAAGTGATAAAACCAAGACAGATTTTAATGACTATTAGAAATTAAGTATATGAATTATAAAGTTAGCAGTATAGTTTATATACTTCACATTGCCATCCTGTAGAAATAAAAAGACACAAACACCATTCATATATCACTTTGGTTTGACTATCATAACAACAAAAAGGACAAATCACTTGTCTACTCATGTGAACACTCATTGAAATATTTGTTTTTTCTTTATTCATAATCATTCGAGAAGAGTCTATCGGCATTTAAATATTATTTTCCATTTTCAGGTCCATGATTTTTTCGAACTTTTATATCAGCTGCTTTTCTTTAACACCTCTCTCTCTGATGACAAGATGAGAACTTCAGCCAGGAAATAATTTCAAATATTAATCATATTCATCTTCAAATCTTTATTCCCAAAAAAAGGACAAAGAAAGACAGGAAAAAGGCAACCGAAAAACCTTATTCCTCGAGAGGAACTCCGTACTCTTCGGCGATCAGTTTTCCCATTTGAGGGTCAATAGTTATACCCGCTTTTAATAATGCCAATATCTTTTTGCCATATTCTTCCCATCGTTGACTAATATCTTGTTCATCCTAAAACAAAGTAAAATTAGTTTTGTCTTAGTACGAGCTGTCGACGCTAGGATGGCTTTCCTCAGACGTGATTTCGACAGAAAAACTTTTGTTACTTGAAGATCGTGGCCTCTATATAAGATCAGCGTCCATATTGCTTGAGAAATGTGTTAGGTACGTTTCGGAGCAACTAGCAGATGCGGATTAAAAAACTTTGAGTATCAAGAGTACGATAGAATTCGGATCCGGATTTAAAAATTTGGGAATCAACCGGCTCTAGCCCTGACCCTATACGATGTATATGTCCCATATCGTATACATGCTCGTTGCTTATTATTGACGACAATATCTGTGTGGCTGAAAAAATAGACTTAGATTATGTAAAAAGATATTTTTACCTTTATTTTTTCAGCCATAGTAGTATAGTCGTTCAGAATGAGCAATACACATGTATACGATATATATATATAAATTGTTTTGAGTAACAGCTTACACAGCGGACGGAACAAGGATGAGTATGTTTCCCCTGTCTTTTTCTATTAGGTCAATTTTGAATAATGAACACGGTCAAATAAGGAAAAGAAGGTGAAAAAGGAAAAGAAATTAACGCCAGACGTACTGGTAATGGTACGACGAGTTCATGTTCAACTGTTTGTTTGTTTAACAAATGTTTAATGACAGATATGACTTGAGCCAGTCAAGTAGAGGACCAGAAATACCGGCCAAAGATAGTTTTCTCAGTAGAATTTCGTGTGGTACACGGTCGAAAGCTTTTTCGAAATCGAAAGAAA